TGAAAATAAGCTAATAGATACCTAAAGGCTTTCTCTAGATGGATTTACTAATTAAGATAACTAATATATCTCTATTATATTCTTAGAATATTAGGATCTAAGATTCTTAGCTACTAGGCCTTCTTAAGAACTCTATCTCTTTATTATTTTTATTTATTTTTAATATCTAGTCTTTAGCTTATTTATTTATTTATAATTTTATTATTAGAGCTCTACTATATAAGAGATACCTATATCCTAATATATAATATAAGAAACTAAGCTAGTAAATACCTAAAGGCTTTCTCTAGATAGACGTACTAATTAAGATAACTAATCTATTACTATTATATAATTAAGGTACTAAAATCTAGGATCCTTAGCTACTAGGTCTTCCTAAGAATTCTATTCTTCTATTATTTTTATATATTCTTAATAACTAGTCTCTAACTTATTTATTCCTTTATAGTTCTATTACTAGAGCTTTACTCTATAAAGGATACCTATATCTTAATATATTCTATATAGAGATAGACTAGTAGATACTTAGATACTTTCTTCTAGATTATTTATTTATAGTATACTTTTAGAATACTAGGATCTAAGGTCCCTAGCTACTAGGCCTTTTTAAGGATCTTATCTCTTAAGCTACTTTATCTACTTCTAATAACTAGCTATTAATTTATCTAATCCTTTACAATATTATTAGACTATCTATTTTAGAGGAGAGTTCTATAATATTATTATATCTATAATTTCTTTTTATCTTATTATCTCTTTACTATTTAATTATAGATTATCTTTATCTAAATTATAACTATAGGAAGGTAAAAAGTATTTACTACTTAGATTAGGGAAGTAGCTAAATAAGATATATTTATCTTCTTAAATAAGAAACACTCTAATATCCTAGCTAGCTAATTAAGGAATAGTATTAGCTCTAAAGTTAATATTATTTATATTTTTTAAGTAGTTTTATAATATCTTTTTATCTTTAATCTTATTCTAATATATATACTCTTTACTTTCCTTTTTATCTATCTCTTTTAAATATACTTCTATCCTTCTATTTATAATAGATATTAAATATATCTCTATAATCTCTAGTATCTTAAGTATCTTTAATATATAGTATTTCATTATTATACTCTCTAGGAGTAACTTCCTATTGTGATATCGGCGAACACATATCAGTGGCGATAGGTAGTGGATATCTGGGTTGACCTTAGTGACCCAAGGTCGATAGTGAAATCTCTGTAATATCTATGACCATCTATTATGTAAAGCAACTAGATAGTATAGATATAAATAAGAGTACCCTCTCTAATGGTGAAAGAGGGTAAGGCCCAGCCTACCTCTCTCTTCACCCTTAGTGAAAGCACATAACCACAGCGATTCCACTATTACTAATTTATAGTAAGAGATTATCTAAATTATATCTTCTTAATTTATTAAAAATAATATCTCTTACTCTAAAAAATTTTAACTTATCTTTAGTCTTTAGATTAAATACTCTTTAGATATTAGAACTTATATATATAACTAAATATCTAATTTTAGTCTATAGTTCTATCTTCTCCTTAAGTATGATATTCCTTTACTAAAAGAATATTATTAATTTAAACTTCTAGAGTATTAAGATATTCTATTTAATAATATTTTTCTTTAGTAATTGATTTATTTATTTAGCAAGAGTCTTTTATTCTTTATTAATCTTTATTAAAAAATAATTTATTATAAAGTATATTACTTTATACACCTCTAGATATATTAATTATAAAAGATTTACTTCTAGGAGTCTAGCTCTTACTTTTTTAATAAGAGTATTTCTAGCTTATTCTACTGATCTATTTATGTCTACAGTATTTATTATTATTCAATAAATATAGATCTCTTTCTTCTTATATAGCTTCTTAAATAGATTTCTAAGTGTTTACTTATTATTATATTAAAAGGATATTACTTCTCTTCTAAACTATATTAATATATATCTTATAAAGATAAATATAATATCTATATATTTATTCTTTCCTAGATATATAAAGATAAAGTACATCCTTATAGTATTATCTATAAAGTATATTATCTATTTATATTTATTTTATTTTCTCTTATTCTAGATTAGATTAATATATACCTTATTAAATAGCTTTATTAATCTCTAGATTATTTTTTATATTGTCTACTTATCTATTCTTATTAGCTAGTATATTATATATATCTCTTTCTATATATATCTATCTTATATTATCATTCTTTATGATGGGTTTTAGTATCCATTATAGTACCTTCTAGTATAGATAAGTAAATCTTTTATATTATTAGTCTTTATTATTTCTTAGTCTCTTTAGTTTAATTAAGGCTATAAACTTCCTCTTTATTATAGTAGATATTTTCTTCTATCTTCTTAATATAGGAAAATAGCTAATAATATATAATTTATATCTCTTATTATATTAATCAAACTCCTTCCTATTCTTATATACTAAGCTTTATATAGTAATATTAATATAAATAACTAACTTCTAAGCTCTCTATAGTAATAGAATATTTATATAAAACCTTAGAATAATTATTATATCTATTAGATATATTATTTTTATGTCTTTATTTAATCTTCTTATAAATATTATCTTTATACTACATTTCTTAATTAATACTTTTATATCTCTAATGTAGATTATATTATCTAATCTTACTAGATATAGGTCTATTATCCCCCTCTTATTATTTAATATATAGATAATAAATCTACTATCTATAATTATAGTATTCCCTAAGGAGCAGATACTCTAGGATATTATATAGATTATTACTATTATTATTATTATTATTATTATTATTATTATTATTATTATTATTATTATTATTATTATTATTATTATTATTATTATTATTATTATTATTATTATTATTATTATTATTATTATATAATACTCTATTCTCTTTTTCTTATCTAATTCTATATCTTATACTTTAGGTTAATTATATCTTTTATTTATAAATTTAAATACTTTCTTTACTCGCTTTATTCTTAGTCCTTTAGTATAGTCTAAATCCTCTTTATAATATAATTTATTAGTCTCTAGCTCTCTTTTACTCTTTAATCTTTATTAAGATAGCTATATATAGAAATATCTTATACTATAAGAATGTTTTCTTTAGGGTTTCTATAGCTTTATGATTAATATTAGGTTCTTTTATAATATACTAAATATTAACTTTATATCTTATTATATAGATATACTTAGGGCCTAGTACTTTATATAATAAGCTTTAGTCTAGATTTATTCTTATATCTTATTATAAATAGTCTATATTATTATCTTAAATATTTACTTTTTAATATCTTTTTTTATTCTTATTTAATCTCCTAGGAAAAGTACTAATTAAATTTATTAAAGATTCTTAATATATTAAGAATATCTTTATTATTTTAGAGTATCTAGTTATTTAATTAATTTATTTTTGTTTTAAAATAAGTTTAAACTTCTCTATTTAATTCTAAAAATCTTAAATATATTAAACCTTAGATCTCTTTATAAATAATTATAATTTTTTTAGATATTTTTTTTTCTTTCTTCTTTATACTATAATATTTTTAGAGTTCTTTTAATATTTTTTTAGCCTCTAGAACTTTCTTAATTTAAGAGGCTAGATATTAATATAATTATATTATTTATTTATATCTTTAGTAATTCCTAGAGTCTTATATATTAATTAAGTCTTTATTATTTAAATTTAAAATTTTTTTATTCTTTTAATAAAAGATCTAAAAAGACTCTTACTAGCTTATATATATATTTTTTTAAATTAAAGTTCTTATATTTAAGTATCTCTAACTTTATTAACTTATTATATTTATTTAGATTAATATATATTTAGATCTTCTTTTAATAAGTTATTATTTATATAATATTTTTTTAGAGTCTTTATTTTTTCTAGTTAGTAAGTATAATCTTAACTCTTATAATTAGTATATTTTAAGTTATTTTTTTTAATTAATTACTTCTTTATAACTTATATTACTTTCTTATTAATTTTTTTTACCTATTTTTTATTTATTAACTTTAGTAGATCTCTTGCTAATTTAATATCTTTATACTATCTTATTAACTAGGCTTATAATTATTATAGCTAGGTAATTAAAGTAATATAAATATTATTAAGTATAGATATATAGCTTAGATATAAAGATATATCCTTCTCTTATTCTCTTACTCTAGCTCCTCTCTAGTAGATATACACAAGGGGATGAATATACTAGTTAGTATATATTATACTATGCTTATTTAGGCATAGTAAGTAAGTATATTACTAATACAGTGAATACCACTCTATTACACCTATATATAAGCCTCCTAGGCTCCTATATACTATTAGCATAAAATTTAGTCACAACCTTATTCTGCATGGCTCCTCTGCTGCAGCATCCTACCATGGAATTTTCTAATGGTGGTGACCCAGGCTGCAATACTTTCAGAGTGAAAAAAAAAAAAAAAAAAAAAAAAAACCATAGTTTATGAGGTTGATTTTGTGGCAGGGCAGAGTACTGAGAGATTACAGAGTAGACAGTATTTTTGGTACAAGATAATCCCCAAGACTACTCACATGCGCGCTGACTAACCATGACAGCAATGAATCATAATTACAGTAGATGTTCTTGAGGCAATGGATGTCATCACTTATTCTGATTCCTTTCATCGATATTTTGATGATGAGATTCTCAAACTCCCCACTAGTCCAGTTGGCTGACTACTTATCAAGTAGATATAACCTATGATCAAGTTCTGAATTCCACGGATCTATTCTCATACAGAAACCTTCGATTTGGTTGAGGCCCATTCACTCAGGACGATGAAGAGAAGTTTTAGGACAACCCTCGATCACAGACGCGAGGGCTATTGCCCATTCAGTTTAATTGAATGATGGATTCTCTTCCTCATGGGACTAGACAGATTTCCATCGACAAGTCAGCATCACCTTCAGTAACGAAGCAGCAAAAAGACAACCCTCCAAATATGTCCTCGGACAAATTAGGCACCCAATTCAGTGGCCCATCACCTTACGACCATCAAGTGCCTGCTTGTGAGCCACTGGGATCGTCCATGCACAAGCCTCGGGCAAGCGGTGCCGCACAGTCAGAGAAACAGGGATTGGATTTAACTGAGGATGAGGATGATAATGATGTAATCGAGGATGGCTATGATTCCTACGATGAGATTTTCATGCAGTATCTCACATCAAGAAAACCCATGGACAGGGTGGAATCAAAAGCAATATCCGGTGGTGCATATCGATCTTGTCGACCGTCTACTAAAAGTAATTCTGGTCGCTCGCGAGGATTGACAAGCAATCCCAGGCGATTTATGATGCCGCCTACCCTGAACAGTGAAAGCCATGGCTCGTACGTTTTAACATCCTTTCCCGACAGGACCATGAAGAGGTTACCATGGGCACAACGATACCCTCCATCAAATTTGAATGAGTTAGCGGTCCACAAGAGGAAGGTCACCGAAGTACAGACTTGGTTGTCGAACGCATTTACGATGAATGCAAAAGTACGCTGAGAACTATTATTCCTCATCCCCTTTCCATAGATTCGATCTAGCTGACGTGTACAGAAATTGCTCGTCCTGAGAGGTCCTGCAGGGAGCGGTAAAACAACTACGATATCCTTGTTATCCGATTTCTTAGATTTTGATCTCCTTGAATGGAAAAATCCCCCAGCGACGGGCTTTTCCACAGAAGGATATACATCCATTGCAGCACAGTTCGATGAATTTTTATCAAGGAGCAACAGGCTATCTGGGCTCGAGTTAAGCGCAAACAATCTGAAGGTGGATGAGACAAAAAGAACAATTCATCATCCCAGGAAACGGATCGTTCTCATCGAGGAATTTCCGGCTGTGATTCGTCTCGGCTCACCCAGTCTTTCGGCATTCCGGCTGTCTCTTCAGCGTTATCTTGCAGTATCATCCGCGCCTAACAGTATTCCGAGGTCTCCGATCGTCATTATTGTCTCCGACACATCTGTGGATTCCGCGTCTTCCTATATGGACAACTTAACAGCTCACAGATTGCTTGGGGTTGATATTCTAAATCATCTAAGCACGACCGTAATCGACTTCAATAGCATCGCGCCTACTATCATGTACAAAGCTCTGGAGTTGGTCGTGGAGAAGAATGCCCGGTCATCCAAGTCGGCGAGGAGACCTGGACGAAACATACTCAAGAATATATCTGAGGCAGGAGACATCCGAAGTGCCATCTCTTCATTAGAATTTATTTTCGTGAAAAATGAGGCATTTGAGAACTATGCACGACACTTCTCTGCCAAAGCCAAACGACCAGCCGGACGCAATACATCCATCACACCTGGTGAAGAAGAGGTGCTGAAGTCGATCTCCCAGAGAGAGGCCAGCCTAGGCTTATTCCATGCCGTCGGGAAAATTATCTATAATAAGCGAGAAGCCGTGGATTCCCCGGCCAGTAATTCCTGGTCACCCCAACTTCCAAACCATCTAAGTCATCACGTCCGGCCCGGGATCTCGCTTGTCTCTGTCAATGAATTATTAAATGAAGTAGGTGCCGATTCGCAGACATTCATCAGTGCTCTTCATGAGAATTATGTGCCATCATGTGATGGACCTGCGTTTTTGGACTGCTTGAACGGATGCACAGCTGCGTTATCGGACAGTGACTTGTTATGTGTCCATAAAAAAGGATTTGGGGCAGACCTTCCACACTCAATGAATAAGGCCACTGTCGGACTGGACTTTTTGCGACAGGATGAGTTTAGCTATCAGATCACTGCACGCGGTCTATTGTTCTCCCTTCCATCGCCTGTGAAAAGGCGAGCCATATCCACAAGTCAGGAAGGAGCAGCTTTTGGTGGGCACAAAATTTTCTTCCCTTCTGAATTTCGGCTATTGAAGGAGAGAGCCGAGGTTGATGATCTTCTAAGGCTGTGGATATCAAGATCAATATTCTTGCACAACACACTCAACGAACAAAGCACTAAGCCCAGGACAGACCACTCCATGGGTCGGTTGACCAATTCTGATGCGGAATCATTAATTATAACTATGCCAGATCGACGCGATTTTCTACTCTATCAATTGCCATATATGGCTCGTATTAACTATCATGGAACGGTTTCATGTGGACTCAAAAAGCTCACATGCTTTCTGGGACAAAATGGTCAAACTTGCGCAGGTAATGATACTTCTGGCCTCGGTTCAGAGGCATTTGGTCGGTTTTCTGCTTTTTCGGAGTCGAAAAAGAATGCCGAAGGCACATTTCAGGGAAAATATCCCCGGATCTGGTTTCCATCCTCACACCCAATTGTGGAAGAAAAATTTACTTTGAGTGACGATGAAATCGAGGAATGCTGATTCTCTTTGTCCCACCACAGAATTTACTCCTTCTCCACACTCTGTTCGGATATGGAATCATGTCCTGTCGTATGCTGCCGGTGTGACTTTTGAGTACATATCTCAATTCTGGTGCCCGGCTCCTGGAATTCGAACAGACGAGAATCAAGCTCTGGTTTGAGGCTCTTTCCCTTCAGAAGAATTGAATGGTCAGATATTTGGTTCAACTCGTATCAAAGATGAATTCATAATAGGGATGTTCTGCACATTATATTATAATAATTATAGTAAAATCGTTCTGCCGGCAGATCTGAATTAGGTAGTGTCACATGATAGTTTAGTAAGCATCCAATATTTCCATTCTTATCTTAGGCTATCTTGGCGCAACGCGTATGTTTACATTTATATATATATTCATATAGACATATAAACATATAAATTTATATATTTTGATAAGTAACCACACCTTCCTAAAATAGAAGATATGAAGCTTTTGAGCGTGGCCTTTCTCTTCTTCTCTACCTGGCGTGAGGAGCTTCCTGATTCAGTAGCTGGGAGAGGCGTGCTTTCAATCATAAGATGTAGGGCTGCGGATTCAGGTAAAAGTATGTCGCGTAAGATCATTCTCCCTAGTGTTTCCTGGGCGGAAATTGGCGCCGGTGAAGGTGAAATTGACCATTCAGGTAGTGCTAAAGAAGATGAATATGGAGATGTCATTTTGACTCTGTAGATAGTAGAATTGGTAGGGATATAGCTTCAAATATAAGATATCTTTGACGCGAATATAGGCTGGATATCACATTCCAGCTTCCCGCGTAGGCACTAACCCTATCACGGGGACGCTAAGCCTATTACGGTTTGTATAATAGTTATAATATTATTATAATCATTATACTAAAATAACGTGAATGCTGAGTCATTTTATCTACCGCCTACTTTGATTGGATGGCGCTAAGCCTAAAAGGCTGTATAATTATTATAATATAATGTGCAGAACATCCCTAATGAATGTGGACCTAAAATACAAGATTCACAGAAGCGTACGACAGGCGGGAGGAAAAGCAAAGCCTCAGCATAGATATAGCTAGGCGGTCTATCTTATCGATAACTGCCACTAAAGCAAATTAGGACTAGGTCCTTTCACTCACTAAAATACAACTAAACCTAACTCCGATTATCAACTCAATATACTCAACTGTATTCCTTACCCACTCGACGAATGCGAGCAATTAGAAGTTTCATGAGCATGAGCGGCATCAAGCATTATTGGTCTAATCAAGAAGGAATCCGTCCACGCCTTATGACCGAGAAAATGATCAATCGCAGCGGGAATGGTAAGGTCAAGGACAGTAGTATTGACTCGCCCAAATTAGTTGATCAAGAAGGATACAAGAAGACGCTCTATAGTAGTCTGGAGACTATAGCTGATGCTCTGGTGCATGCAAATCCCGCGAGCTGTATTAGTATGGTATTAATGATCTCGTTGATATTCGGTGGTTGCTGTGCCAATGTGGGTGCTCTACTCTCTATCTTAAACTTGCTTGACTGATTGTCCCAACTCAGGTTTTCGCGTTAGAGGCCATCATAAAGTGAGTTACAAGAAATATCTCAACAGTAGAGCGGCCTTGGACTAATGATTCATCTAGGCAGCAGCCAAGCTCAGGTATCTCAATACCATATTCCGATCATGTTTCTTCCCGCCTTTGCTGAGATGCTTACCTCTGTCAAAAGGGCCCTTGATAACTTTCGCCCAATTCCTCGTCACTGCTCTACTAACGCTTCCGAGCTTCTTGTCGCCCTCTTCAGGAGCCTATTCGCTATTCCTGACCCCGCGTGTCATCCCGCTCAGATCATGGGTAATATACACGGCGTTCTTCGTGACAGTCAATCTCCTAAACAATTGGGCTTTTGCTTATCGCATTTCTGTTCCGTTGCACATTATACTAAGGTCTGGAGGGCCTGTCGCCTCTCTAATCATTGGGTACTTCTTCAACCAAAAGAGGTATTCACATGGTCAAATTGTGGCCGTAGCAATGCTCACTTTTGGGGTTTTTACGGCAGCTTTGACAGATGCTCGAACGAAGGAAAAATCGTTAGAAATGGGACCTATCAAAGAGAGCTCTGACTTGGTCACCACTGCCACGGGCTTTTTAATTCTTGCTCTAGCCATGATTCTTTCCGCTTTCCAAGGAATTTATGCGGACAGGCTTTATGAAACCTATGGCAGAAACCACTGGAAAGAAGCTCTCTTCTACTCGCACATACTCTCACTTCCCCTTTTCTTACCAACATATCCGCAACTTCTCGACCAATGGCGAGCCATGCGGTCATCTCCCTCCCTGGTTTGTCCGGCCTTGGGGTCCAACACAATCAGTGAGAATAAAGGTATCACAGGCTTGATGTCATCTTTAAGCTCGGCGATTGGTTCTGTTACCCTTTCGCCGCTAGCAGTGATCAACACTGTCCCATATTTCATCTCTCAAATCCCGACACAGGCAGCTTTCCTTTTACTGAACGCTCTGACACAGTATTTGTGTATTCGTGGAGTTCATCTACTTTCCGCCCAGACGTCATCACTGACGGTGACTGTCATCTTGAATGTCCGGAAGCTCGTCTCTTTATTACTGTCTATCTATATATTTGGCAATGATCTTGCGCCTGGAGTTCTCATAGGTGCTGTTTGTGTTTTCTCAGGAGGTGGTCTGTATGCTCTGGAGAGCACGCGACTCAGGCAACATGGCTCTAGCAAGAGAGACTGAGGGTCTTCCCCTCTCCGACCTCCCAAAAACTGCCCCGCGGATAGACCTTGGGGTACCATCATATCTCAAGCTAGTTCGATGGTTGATTGCATCCTGTTGGATCTAGTCATCGTGTGTCCATATGCAGTGAATAGCTTGATTTGTTGGCGTCACGTGTTATGTGAATGTTGCACCTGGCCTCGCAGTTTGTATTAGGTCTTCAATTAAGACTCATCGACAAATATAAAACTAGAATACACTTGGAAAGAAAAGTACACGTGCCCGCACTATAAGGGGGGAAGGGAGAATGGATCATCTCTGTACTGTACATGTTGCTCAAGGCACCATCAAGAGACTCTTCGGAGTCAAGCCAAGCCCTTCTATGGCTGATCATTCGCTAACGAACAACGTTCAGCTTGCTAGTTCTCAAAGCACTTCACCTACAATCCTCGCTGCTTCCTTGTAGGTATCCAAAAGCCTTTCGCATTTTTCTCTCTCCGCTTTGATGCCGTCGTCCTCATAGAGAAGCTCCCCAAAGAGATCTTCCTTATAGAGCTCACTAACGAGTCTATTCTGCACAACATCCTTGCTGTGGTTGACCAGGAGGTGCATAATAGCTTTTGGAACTTGATCTGCAATAGTTTCCCGAACAATGTTGAAATACGACGAAATCAATCGACGAATCAACTCTGTTTCCATGAGCTCACGGTCAGACAGGGAAGGCTCCGTATTTTCCAACTGCTAAAAGAAACCAAGTCAGCTTTCGCTCGAATATAAGCATCAACATGAGTCTTACATTTTGAGGTATGTCGCCACCGTATTCGGAGGGAGTCGTATAGTCATCAGAGGGACCAATTGGTGAGCGTATTTCTGTCCGTCTGATGCTTTGGCTGATGCTTGGTTCGTTCACATGATTGAGTTGTCTTTGTTGGTTTAAAGGTTGGGGCAACGGGGTCGAGCTCTGTACCCCATCCTTACCAAAGAAATAGTTAAGAAACGAGTCCCGAGTTGTGTTCGTCGCCCCAAACATGGCACTTGAAGTGGGATTCGTTCCATTCAAGGTCGCTGTAATCGCACTCTCTTGGCTTTTGCTAATGTGTGGAGACATGCTTCTGGTGCCCTTTGCGGGTTGGCCTCTACTATGGAGACTCTGTGCCTTTGACTCTGGCTGATGGTCCTCCTCGTCTTCTGGAGAAAGCGGCGCGGCGCCATTGAGACCGCCCAGCTCCTTTTGACGTCTTCTTTCCCGCTTTTTTCGGTCTTCAGCCAAAACCATTTTTCTTTCCTGTTCCTGTTTGTTCTGAATGACAGAGGACATTGCAGCTGCCGCACCGAGGAAGTTCGGGTGATTGGTATTAATATACGCTCTTTGGATGGATATCAACGATTCCACGTAAGCGGAACAGGGGCCCAGGCGCTCCCGGAGTAGATCAGATACTACTTCGATGAGTTTCGCTTGAAGACGGGGAAATCGCAAGAGCTCTTGTGAACCGCAGGTATGACAAATTTTTATGAGTTCTTCGTAGACAAGCTCAACACACCGCTGACTGGGAGCTTCCAGCATTTTTATCTGGGGCTTCACAAGTAAATCAAAGGCGAGCTCAGGAACAAATAAGCTCGGTCGAGGGCCTGTGGAATTTCTGATGGCTGTTCTGATGTCGGACACCGATAAATTATGTGTTGGGTCGATGGTTTCCAGGGAATTACCAAATACGGAGTTGAATATATAGTATATTCTGGCTCCTCCGCACAGCTCCTTGGTAGAGATTTCGGATGAGGTACCGTCAATTGAGGAAATGAATGAAGAGGCAAAGCGCGTCATGAGCTGCAGTATCAGGGATCCACGGTGTTCTTTTCCACTGAACTGCTTATTTCCATAGCTGGCAAGTTCTTGTTGCGTCTGGCCCATCAATGTATTGAGGCGGGCTTTGATATCGGGCAAGCGATCTCGTATATGTGCCATCAATGTGGAGTTCAAGGTCTTCGCGAGAAACTGTGTTCCGCATCTATTTGCCATATTTCGATACGCCGGATGGTGTCTGAAGAACTCGACTTCGGCCTGCAAAGCCTCAGATAATGATTTCCCAGACTGTATGTCTTGCTGAGATCGATTGACGACACCAATAAAGCCAAGTTTCAACGGATAGACTCGGCCGGAGAGAATGTCCATCGCGTTGGTGCCATGATCCATTAGGTCCAATTTCGTCAAGACTCCGATTGTTCTCCGGCCCATAGGATCTACTTGCCGTGCAAGTTTTAATGCCTCGGAGTTTACAAGGTCGACATTGGCGGGTGAGACAGCTAGGATGATACTGTTCGGCTTCGCTATGTATTCCAGGATCAAAGTCCGAGTTTGCTTCTCGATGTCGGATGGCTGATCTCCGATTGGTACTTTCGTTAACCCGGGTAGATCGACCATGGTGAGGTTGAGAACATGAGGGGAGAAAATCTTGAGATTGATAGGTTGCCTATTGATTCCTTTGTTGTTACCAGCGATTCGAGCTGTTTCCGCTTCAATCTCCTGTTTCACCATGGCAAAATCATCGAACTTGCGCCCAGGCAGGTGATGGAATTCAGCCCATTCATGTTGGCCGGCTACACTGGCGGCTGTGTGTGGTACATGGACTGCGTCATCTCTGGGCCTATCATCACGTTCACTGGGGATGTTTATGAGCTGTAGGATCAATGGTCGTCTAGTGACTATACCACTTCCTCTGGGCAAAAAATCTCTCCCCACAATGTTTTCCAGCACAGAAGATTTCCCGGAAGACTGTGACCCTACAACGACCTAAAAATAACTGAAAATTAGAGAAAAACAAGAACAGCTTTCTGAGAAATGAGGACTAAGGCATAGCTATTATTAGTCAAATACCACTTACAATTTGTGGTAAATCAAGAGAATCATTTCCAATTGTGTTGAAGACCAGGTCCTGTAATTTGTTCACAGTTATAAGCAGGTCTTCACTAAGTGAGGCCATTGTGCACAAAAAGGGATGCGTAAGGGTATTCGTGGATATATATATATATGTTTAAAGAAAATGACTGAATGATAGTAGGTTAACGGAGATAAAAGTAGTTTGAGATAATAGCTAGGCAAGCAAAAGTGAGAGCCAACAATAATCAGACACAATGTTCTGATTAGACTTGAAGGCAATAGGTTAATTCAAAGAACCAAGATGATACTACAGTAACTGGTCAGAAAAGCTAATTTATATCACGTGATTCACATTCCAGCCTATACCCGCGTATCAATCCCCAGGTGTAATGGTTGGTGGTTTCGACCATATATGTTCCTAAAGCGATCTGTGATCTAGTAGATTGTGTGAGATGTAAGTGTGAATAAAATTAGCTCAAAATCTAAACGTGCCTCATATTCCCCTCGACCATCCCACGAACCTGGAGGGGTAGTCCTTAGGTGCAAAGGATAAAGACCATGATTGCAAGAATGGGGTGCTAAAACATCTCAGTCCAATGTACAAAGAGATAAGCATTCTCGCAGAAGAGTAGGGTTGAACAAGAGTCATCTACTGTAACAGATAATCATCACATAAAGAGAATGGAGCAGGAGGGGAGAAAATAGCAAGAACAGGCAGATAAAGGTAGTAAAGCAGGATGCTGGACAGAAGCTCTTCTATACATTCTGTTGAATCAATTTTAATTGTAACCCTTCAAGAGATTAGATGCACCTGCTCCCCGAAACCTTCCATCATGAGCCCAAATGCAATCTTGGTGAACTTATGGAAGGCTGGGCTCAAAATCGAGGAGGTGAGATAGTTCTCCAGCTAACTACTTTCCAAGCTGGACATAATTCGCAGGAAAGAGGCCCTTCTTGCCGTTATACTCACCGAACCACCAGTCATCATCAGGGAATTCCTAAGACGTAGTCAGCCATGTAAGGAATCGAGTAGTGAACTCGTCCGAGAAGCACAAGGTGGAAATAATGAGATGAAGAACAACCGAAAACGCTTGGAGGGGAAAGAGTCTCAAAAGTCACTTACAATATTGAGTATTTCAGCGCCTTCGGGGAAGCTGACTTCATTATCCTCTGCGGCTTCGTAATCATACAACGCTATGGCAACTGGCGCTTTATCGTTCGAGGTACCCGTGGTGATGTCGTCAGCTGTAGACTTGAAAGCATCTTCCCGTAGTTCGTCGCTTCCGATGTTCAGCGTCGGTTGATTTGGCAGGTTTCCATCGCCCAATTCAACCAATTCAACGTAATTACTTGGGAACAAACCTCTGTGGCCGTGCACATTGGAACCGAGCCACCAGTCCTTATCGACCATCTCGATATCAGACACATAGTCTCCCTCTTTTAGATCAATCTCATTGTCTTCTGCCTTCTCGTAATCGTACTGTACGATAGCCCTGACCGTGCTGTCTCGCGAAGGTTCCACTACGGCAGCTTTGGCTGTTTCCCTACCAATGTCAATGGCGGCGCCCTCGAGCTTCTCTTCTTTCGGCAGAGCATGCTGAAGGCTCTGGGCCGGAATGACAGGTGGTGGGGAAAACTGATTTTCGCGAACACTTGTAACCTCCTGACTAACCGGCATGGCAATGCGAATCGGTGAAGCCTCACGTACTGGAGCCGGTGTTGGCGGTGTCGGGGACCTTGGCTGCTGGGGAGGATAAGGGACAGACTGGGGAGGTTGGAGTTCCAACCCGTCTTCTGATACTGTGTGTGCAGTTTCTGCACCGTTGAACGACGCATCGCGACCGGAATCGGGAAGGACAATCTGATCCTCGGATTTGGTTATCTCCGTGCTCGATTCATGCGCCAAATGTTCCTGGATCGCACTGATGCTCTCACTAGGGGGCGAGATTTCCGTTTCATCTTTTTCTGCGGAATCTTGTTGGGCACTGCCACTTTTTGCAGAACCGCCTGTATGAGTAGTCTGAACGGGAGCCCATGTTTTGCCGGTGTACGAACTTTTCCACTCCGCACTGCCACTTTGCTGTGTTTCGAGGGTACGTTGCTTGTCACTCATAGTGGGTATGTGAGGGACGTCGTTCTGCTCCTTTGCTTTGGCTTTTCTTTCAGCCCACTGTTGAGCAGGCGTCTTGCCTCCCTGATCTGCGAATGTCCGGCTTGCACTACCGATCTGCACGGCAGCGGGAGTTGGCTTAGATCCCAATTCGCTAGGTAGCGGGGCTTTTGTTCCTGTGAATGTCGAGCTAGAGTCGATCTTTTTTAACACTTTCGGCTTTGGCAAACTCGTCAAACGCTCAGGGTTGGGAGGCACAGTGGAATTGTTGGCAAAGTTCGATTGCTCCCCGAGAGTATGTTTCAAGGTAGGGGATGACACCCGATCTAGGTCTCCGGTTGGGGGGAGTTCGGGTTGCTTCTGAGCTTTAGAACGAATTGCGACAATGTCAACTTTACCAACAGGTTCGTATGCACCTTTGACGGGCTCGGGCCGGTCATCTTTTAGCTCACCGGCTTCTTTTGCCTGTCGCCTGATTGCTGCTATGTCAACTTTGCCAACTGGTTGATAACCACCTTTAACAACACCGTCGCTGACGTTGGCTGAGCGTTGATCATTATGGTGCGGGTGCACTTTAGTTTGCACCTGGGATTTGATCTCTTCAATATTGACCTTAGTTGGCTTGTAGGCAGATTGGACTTTCTCAAGTTCTGTCCTCGTGACTGGGGGCGCATCAGGACCCCATCCATCATCATTGCCACTTTTTGATGAGATATTCGGTCTCGCACCATCTCGCAGTGCGTTTGGGCCAGCCCTTGAGGGGACGAACGCAGATTTTGCGGCGGGAGGCCGGGATTCCGGACTCACTAATGGTGCTCTCTGTGGCACATACTTTGCACCTGATGCATCTCCAACCTTCTGGACAATACCTTCGGGTGAGAGATCTCCCTCAGATCGAGCAGTTATCTGAACATGATAGCCCTTTGCAATTTATGTGTTAGAAAAGAGTAATATAGGCATATGTAGAGGGCAGGGCACAAACAGGTAGAGATCTTGAGACAATGGACAGATGACTTGTGAAATATCCTTTCGTTCTCTCGGGTACACCTTCTCCACACCAAGCTAGGAGAACATTCTTCGGAAGTCCAGAATTTGGATCAGTTACTTTAACAAATGCAAATTGGATTTTGCCTTCAGAGAATTCATCAATGAGATCAACCAATTCACCCGCTAATATCTCTTCATATCAGCATGTTGATTGCTTTTGGTGTTATCCGAAAACTGACCTCCTGTGCTCTGAAGTTTCAATATACTCTCCTTATTATCTGAGCCTTGTTGAAATGCATTAACAAGAGGTGTTGACACGGAAAATAGTGCCCATTGCCCATAAGTAGGGGAGCCTGGAAGCGTGCAATTGATGACAGACTGATGACTCTTAGATATGGAGAGTCCGTTTAGGGAGACATTCAGGGATGCCATATTGGTGAGTAATGGGTCAATGTTTGATTGTTTGGGATTTGCTGGCTTCAATATAATGGCAGATATCAATCTTTTGGATTGTATCTAACGGTCTGTAAATGGATAAGATTGTTTGGTGTAGGATAATATAGGCTTGTGGTTGTAAATGATACCTAACTATTTCCAACCATTCAGTGGCATTGCGTTTCCAAGGATAGATTAAGTATATATATATATAATGGGAGGGGCTATAGGTCAGGCGCTCCAAAATTTTAGTGTTGCACTATCTTAAAGGCACCTAACATAATATAGTAGTTATCATAGAAATTAAAATACACATATTATATACTTAAGATAGTAAAACTCATAGGCCTTTAATTAAAATTTTATTTTCCTTATATATTAAGGAGCTCCATACTATCCTCTATCTCCTATTATCATATCCACACCTAGTATGCCATAGCAAGATAGGTATATAACTTGTTTGCTGCTGAGCAAAGATAAGAATAATAATAATCATCATAAGATCTTTATATAACTAATACTAATTAGTTTACTACTTTAGTGGTATGTCCTAGTTCCTAGGATAAATAAATAATTAAAAATTTAAATAATTTAAATAATTATTCTAATTAAGTTATATTAACTTACCATATAAAGTAGTTATTTTATTTACTTAGTCTATAGGATACCTACCAGCTTCTTAGTAGTTAAGCTACCTTTATTTTCTCCCTCTACTAGTGTTATTATTTTTAATTATTTTATTAGTTTCTTTATATTTATTTAATTAATATTAGCAAAGTCTTTAATATAATAGCTCCTATCTTTTATTAAATCTAGGTATAGAATAGCATAAGATAGTAATTAAAATATTCATGCTAGAATTAAATTTCATATTTTATAATAGAAAGTAGTTATTATATTAGATAACTAGACTTACTTATAAGTATCTATTATAATTATTATATAATATGTTATATAAGAAATAGAGTAGCAATAGGAAAATTAAGATTTTATTAGTTTATATATCCAATATAGAATAACTAATAGAAGAGTTATATAAAAACTACTTAGTAAATAAAAAGACATAATAGTACTAGAGATAGTATTACGTTTTATGACTCTATCTATAGATATTTTATTTATTTAGTGACTATATTATTATTCTATTATTATTAATTATTATTATTATCTTCTAGTAATAAGACTATAATCTTAGTAGATATAGTATTATTATCTATTATCACACTCTATAGAACCATCTATAGAAATTCTATAGAATTATTATAGTATTAATATTAATTTATCTAATTTATCTAAGGACCCCTTAATAATTACTTCCTTAGGACTACACTACTACCCATAATAAATAAAAATAATATTATTTTTATACCTACTTAGTAGGTATAATTAGATAACCTAATTTAGTTAGTAGTTATATAATTAGTAAAAGCTATATCCAGTTAGTAAGCTATAAAGATTAATATATATAAGGATTTAGTAGCTTTAATAGTATTAGTAAGAAGTTATTCTATAAGAAGGTATAAGAATTTATATTCTTCTAGTTATATATATTTATCTAAATATTTAATATACTTATATTCTAGATACTTATTAAGAGGTTAAAGAAATATATAATAACAATAATAACAATAATAACAATAATAACAATAATAACAATAAAAATAAATATTATACCTCTTTAATTACTAAATTAGTAGTAGATATAAGAGGTTATTAAAGGTCTATAAAGAGTATTTTTTTCTTCTTTAACTTATTTTATAGCTAGGGAACTAGGGAAATTATTAATAAGAATAATACAATTTATTATTATTCTATTATTACTTTTACTAATTATCTTTAGACTATTATATAATCTTAATCTATAGCTAAAATAGCTTAGAATCTTAATATATATCTTAAAGATTCTTAAGATACATAATATAACTTAGAGTTAGATAGTATTATTAGATATAGCCTTATCTATATAATAGATATAGATAACTAGTATTATACTCTTAAAAACTATTTTAAGATACCTCTAAGCTTAGCTAAATAATACTTAGATAATTATATTTATATTATTACTAATATTATTAACTATAAATTATCTTTAATTTATATTATTATAATAATCTCTCTTATAAAATAATATAGAGTAGGAGATACTAAATTTCCCCTAGTAGTATAAGCCCAGAGAAATCTAGACATTAGACTTAGAGATATTAATAATAAGCTAAATAAGAAAGTCTCTCTAGCTAAATTTATAAATATTATAAATTATAAGTAGACTAACTAATTTAATAAATTTAGTATATCTACTCCTCTAGCTATTTAGCTAAACCCTTTTATTAGATAGAATCTAGCTCTCTATAGTCAATATCTATAGGCTACTTAGTTAAGGTTTATCCTAATACGATCTAGATATAACTATCTAGTTATATAAAGCTCCCTATAAGGCCCCTCTGCCCTTATATATTCTTAATATCGCTAAGGATCCTTATATAATTAGGAAGATAGTCATAGCTAGCATAGTAGTTATTTATATAACTAATATATAAGAGTTTCTAATTAGTATAGTACTACTCCACACCTAAATAGTACTAATACTAATTAGTTAATAATTATAATAAAATAAATATTAGTAATAGTAGTAATAGATATTATAGAAACCTTAATAACTATAATACTAAAATAGTTAATAGTAGTAATACTAATAATACTAATAAGCTTAGTAGAACCAATAATAATAGTAATAAAGAGCCTACTATATAGAAGGCTCTATAAAGTAAGAATTATATAAGTTATAAGATAATAGAGAAATATACACCTAAATAGAAGAGTAAATACTAATACTAAAAAATAAATATACTAATTAAAATAACTAAATATATTATTAAGTATATTAGGATAGGAATAATAAATACCTAAAGTAAAATTACTAATGAAAGTAATAATATTAACTACTATTAGCTAAAATATTATATTATTATTATTATAGATGCTGTTTTAGCTTAAGTAATAAACTTTATAAGTATCTTCTATATTATATTCTATCAGAAGCTATCTTCTATATTAACGTTATTAAACTACTAAATCTACTAGTTATATATCTATTATTTATAGAGTTATTAAAGCTATAAGATAGTCTTAGATTTTACTCCTAGAAATATATAACTATTTATATTACCTTAATATTATAAAATAAGGAATGATAGTATATCTTAACTTAGGTTATATTATAATTATTATTAATTAAGCTTTTCTATTATAATATTCAATACTAGTTCTAGTTTAAGATATAGTAAATAATTTTATTTACTATAAATCTATATTACGAATACTATATTTATTAATAAAGTAAGGAGTATATTACTACCTAATTTAGATAGTAATTAAGATATATCTAGTAAATAGTCTTAGAGTGAATATATTAGTTAGAGCTAATATATTAAGTATATATAGTTTTATTATTAACTTTATCTATTATACAGTAGTTATTACCATATATAAAAATACTAAAATACTATTAATAATATTACTAAAGCTATACTATATAAAGCTAAGGCTAATATATACTTATAAGTAAATAGTTATATTATTATACATATCTGTATATAACTAGTAAAGCCTACTAAATATATGAAAGATTATAGCTATTTCTTTCAGCTATATTAATATCCTATATTAGTACTATTTTTATATATCTAGGATATAAATTTTAGTTATATTTTAGCTATTAATTAGTTAACTAAACCTATAGTAATACCAATAGTGTGGTATTAGAAGTTAGGCCTAATATCAAAGTTTAAAGTAATAAGTATCTATTATCTTAACATAGAATATATAACTAGCTTAATATTTATACTACTTATAAATATAATAAAGCCTATTCATATTTTAAATACACTAGATACGAAGATAATAGTCTTAGAAAATAATATTAGACTATATGGCTTAGTAGAGGTTATATAAGATCTAGCTAAGATAATAACAGTATATCTAACTATATAAATAAATATATCCTATAATTAATATACCTAAAGTATAATATATATAGATTTATTTATATAAATTCTAAATAGGAAGATAAGATCTAATACTTAGCTAAGTGATATAATATTAGATATTAGTATAGATAAGTTATTCATTAGACTTTTAATAAACTATATAAATACAGCTATATGGATTATTTAATAAATATAACTCTTATAGGCACCCTAGTATATATCCTAGATCTATTATTATTACTATTCCCTTATAAAAATTAATTAATGCCTCCCCTATTAATATAGAATATAACTATATCAGTGTTACTATTACTATCCTTTATTATTAATTATTTACTATACTATCTATAGAAGATTCTAGAAACTAAGTTAAAAAGCTATCTAGTAATTAATTTTCATAGAATAAATATATTAATTATATTAGATATTTACCCTGTCCCTTTATAGATAGAGATAATTATAAACATTATAGTAATATTTTACTAATAGCCTCTATTTCTAGATAGCTAATAGCTTACTAGTATTATTATATATTAGGGATTCCTAGGAATACTTTAAGGTTTATCTAATAAGATTTATTAATATTATTCCTCATGTTTAATATTAAGTAGATTTAATTTTCTATAATATAAAGATATTTCTATATATCTATATTAATAATTTTATTATCTATAGTTATATACTAGAAGACTATAAGTACTATCTACTAGCTTTTCTTAAGAGATATACTAAGATATATATTACCTTAAGTCTAACGTAAACTTTTATTATATATCTATGAGTATAGGTACGTAGCTAGAATATCTTCCTATTAGGTATAATAGCTACTAAGGATAAATTAAGAGCTATTAGTATATTAAAGTTCCCTTTTATACTAGCTAATCTAGATATCTATCTTAGTCTAACTAGATAGCTGGGAAGCTATATTCTATATTATACTAGAATAATATAGCTATTTTAAAACCATATTCTACCTTTTTCATCTCTCTTACTATGCTTATGTAGATTATC